AAAGTTTATTAAAAATCTGTTAATGGAAATTGGGTTACATTAAATATACCTGATTCATCACCTAATTTACCATCCTTAGAGATGGAATACATTCTTCAAATTTTAATAGGATCACTTGAGGTACCTCAAGTATTACCAAAAAGAATCATCAAAATTTATTCACAGATGTCGGAGTTATCGCGTAACATATCTCTTATAAGATAAAAAAAATTATCGAAGACTCCAATGAACTCCAAGTCGATTAAAAATATTCTATAAAGATGTGAAATATTTATTATCGCCCTAAAAGTAAGAATCTCATTCCGGCCTCGATAATCTAATTTGCCTTAATGCTGCTGTTTCAGATTTATTCATGTAACATAATTGCGAGACTTTCGACTCGTCAAACTTCTTAATAGAACTTTGAGTTCGGAAAATTTTAATGTATTCGTAATGATAGCTTTGTAAAACATTATAAGCGAAATGTTACATTAATCATCTTTACGTTGATATTTATTCTTTATCATTATTTTTTATCATTATCTGGTAGTTACGAGACTTAAGTATTTATTACGTGTGTAATTTCACCAGAACTCTTACCCTTCAAAACCGGAACGCAGTAACGCTCACATTACTGCATGTCGGCAGAAATAGGTAAGGTTGATGATCCCTGGATATATCGCTGCTTTTCAGTGGTACAATATAGTTTCTTTTTTGACTTATTTGATTATGAAGGGGACACCGAGGTCTTGATTGATTAAAATAATTACGTATCGTATTGGGATGGTGCATGATTTGTCAATTTTGCGCGGCAAGCAAGTCTCAAATTGTTTAAAACCCTCTACTAGAAAGCCATTGATATGTATTTACAGACGAAAACTTTAGAAAATTTTATAGCGGACTAAATATGGCGCATTTAATACTTCATTATATGCCGCTTCAATGGTTCTTGGTTCATTTCATAAATATCTTTTCAATGTAGATATCACGAACGACTCTCTAAGCTGAGCGAGCAAGAAGAGCGAGGATTCGTCCGCACATTCTACTACAATGCTCCAACTCGGCCAACTACAGGATGAAGTACTTTGGAGTATCAAGGGCGCTCTCTGAAGTCTTCAACAGACCCAGGATGATGCTAATATTCTTGGAGAAGCTTGGTTGGCACATGTAGGATCCTGCACCCACCACATGCAAAATAAGCGCAAAGACGTCGAGTTACTTCTGTAATGTTCCGGCGTGATCAGCTATAGGACGTAAAACCTTGGAGTGCCGAGGTCGCACTCCGAAGTCTTCAACAGACCCGGAAGAATGCTAAGATCCTTGGAGAAGCTCGAGTGGCACGAGTAGGTACCTACCACACATAAAATTCGTACCTCGATGTCTAGTTGCGTACACCAGTCATACCATATCTTATTACATAAAATTACGACCAAATTGTTGTCAAAATTAGTTTAAACACCGTGAAAGAACTGTGTCCACATTCGACATTGTCACTTTGGGAACAATAAATTACAAATAATGGCAGCGCAGGCAGTCGTTGCATACATGGTCTGGACACTGTTCGCCTCTAGGCATGAACGAAATGTTACATGTAATTTAGTTAACCAAACAATGCCGAATTTAAAAGTGGCGCCCAACACGGGGCCTGGGTGAGTGCAATGAATAATTAATTCGTTTAGTTTATTAAAACAGAAGATTGCCTTTCTGTAAGTGTAAATATTTCATGTATTATTATTTGAAAACTAAGAAACACCTGAAAGTGTCAAAAATGTACGCGAACAATTTGTATACAAAAGTAACATTTTACAACAACATTCACGTTTTAAAGATACCGGATATCAACGTCAGTCAGTGAAATGTTGATTAAAAATTCGAAATACATAATTATATATAATCATCATAAAGCAATGTAATAAAAAAATATTGCTACAATGAGCGTGTTGTATGCGTCAGACATATTGTACGAACGGTCCCTTGACAATATAACATTTCATATCGCGGAGTTTGGTTCCGTCACATTTCACAGCACAAAATTGCTACATGTGTCTGGATGAAATTATGTCATTTATTTGCGTTTTTCGGTAGATGTGAATTCATATAGTTATAACTGAATGCTGATAATTAATAACTTGTCAACCAACGTGATCATAGTTATGCGAAGATGACACCTAAAGATTTCTTTCGTTGTTTTTCATAGTTTGTTCTAAAATTTACTTATAAAAATGAAATTTTTTCCTGTTAACACCTCAGGAATGATAAATTGTTGTGACTATAATGCCAACAACAATTGCCATTAACTATCGCAAAACCTATGCTCATATTGGTTGACATGTTATTGCTGATACATCCAATTATAATTGTAAAACATTTAATTAACATAACCATTTACTTACCATTTTTATTCGGTTTTGGTTTTTACAAGTATATAAAATACCAAAGTATTTTTCCACACTCTCGCTAGTTTAATTCAAGGACTTCTTATTTGTATTTTGGTACTAAGTAGTGAAAGGTAGTGCCGGTAACTAAATTTGCATATGTTAAACAGGCACACCACGTTACGTTGTAGGAAAATGCAAAAGTAATATGCTTTCAAATTTTTGGACCAAATTAGTTTCTTTTAAAGTGTGTTTTTTTAACAAGCGCGCACCTGGTGTTAACAGACACGCCTGTCGATAACAGTTGCAGTGTCACTCAAAGTTTTAAATCGCAAAGAACTTAGGGGCTTAACTTAATATTTTCAGGATACGGTTAAACATATTTTTTAGTGTAATTTATCCACAAGGCTCTCGTTCGAAACTATTGGCAACAGGATTTAAATATTAATAATATTCTTATTGTAATAGTAATATTTGTTAATACTAACAATCCACATGTGCGATGTTTGTTTTTAAAATAATAAATTAATCAGAGCGATCACAACGACCTCGGGGCAACACAGCAGGACGTGTCCATTTTCCAATGACAACCGCGAGTGTCCATGATAAGTGGTTTTATGGCGCAACGTGGGATTTTTTAATGATATTAGGTACGGCACCTTTATCATTCAAAACCAGACTACGCACGTTACTGCTTGGCAGCAGGAATATGTATGGTGGCTATACTACCCTGGGTGGACATTTTCACAAGGAGGTCTACTGCTGAGTGGTCTTACTTACTTAGCAGAATTCAAACTTTTAATGTGACCTGTATTGTTTGATCGTGTATTCTATCTTGTGACCCGTACATAGGCTCAAATTGTGATTAGTGCCTATTTATTGAGAAATAAGGTAGAAAATAACAATTTAACGCTAAATAAACACCTTGAAAACCAAAACAGACGTCAAATATAACGCTTAACACATCACAAAAGTTTCTCGATTTTATCATCAGATTCCTTAAACAAAATCTGAACAAAAGTTACCACCCGCTAATTTTATTTTGTTCCTCTGAGCTAAGGTGCGGAGTGTACACTAATTTAGCACCATAGATAAGACCGCCGGTTGTTAGACAGCTTGTTAGATGGTATCGACTGTAGACGCTTCCTGCGAGTAAGGTATTACAAAAAGGTAGGGTAATTGTAATGTTTACTTTGAAACTTGTTATGACTTTGTTACTATGTTCTAGTCAGGCGTTATTCGTTGTTTAGAGTACAAGTTCTATTTTATAAGTAATATATAGCTATCACTAACAATAAAATGCTTACATCATGAAGAAATAATTCTATGTAACTACATTATGATATCGGTACAACAGTTTACAAGGTATATTGACTGTCAGAATGTTTCACCATCATGATATTCATTTATTTTTTCTGAAATTACTCCGCTAGTTTGTTATAATTATTAAACAAAGATTGACCACTTAGAAAAAAATCACTTCGATCGGGTTGGATTCGAACCAACGTCTCCCAGCAAAACCATGCCAGACGCTATGCCAACTAAGCCACGGAACGAACCAACAAACCTCACGAATTTTTTCATGTGTTTGTTGCAGACCTTTGTTTTGATTTTTAGCGACTTTTTGCCGTGCCACTTAGAGCTTTGCATTGCAAAGATCTGAGGCACACTACCACTGCGCCTATCACCGTGCCTGTAATTTAACCAGCACCGTTGCCTGTCAAAACCAGAACACAGTAATGATGACATTACTGCTTGGCGGCAGAAATAGTTAAGGTGGCAGTACTCTGGACGAACTCTTTCACAAGGAGCTCTACTGCTACTATACTACTACAACGTACCTCTCAGATCTAAAATCCAAATCAAAATAATATTCATTTCATAGGCAAGCATTATTACACACGAAATCGTCACATTGGTTGAACTGTACCGCTCATTCGTAAGGCAGATTCCCCTGAGAAGAATGAGCAAGAAACCCTAGGGGTTGCTCTTTGTAAATAACATTTGTACGCATTCAACATTTACAATATATATTTTTTTGCTTTCAAACATCAGAGATCGAGACTACCTCCACGAGCTAAACGGGTTACTATGACGGATTTTTGTCATCCAAGTACGCAGAAGTTGTATAATAATCTTTGCGACATAAAGCTCTGAGTGGTACTGCAACTGCTTTGCACAGGTGCGCTTACCACCAGGCGCACGATTTGTTCGTCCCGTCACTTCGTATCATAAAAAAAAATTCTGATGTTACTATAATATGTGTTGTAGCCTTGATATGATGCTGGTACCAGAAAAGTCTTCACTACTATTCAATTCCTCAAAAATACTTACATTACAATTTTTTACAAAAGTCTAAGTTCTAAAAACTAAACAAACTAGGATTAAATTATATGAATTAGATTGAATCCCCGCGGCAAGGTGCCCAAGATGCTTACAGCGTTCCCCCTTTGCATGGCTATGCTAATGCGTTGGGCAAGATAGCTGCCGGCCCTTGGGTTTCCCATACAGTCCATTAATGTTTTGGATAAAATTACAAAAAATATATAGATCACCCCACGGACCAAGGGTTTTTACTTCAAAAGCCGTAAATAGGTAGTCAAAAACGAGATCCTGGTACTTATTACTCTTTATTCTTTCCGCCAGCTCAGCTGCGGAGCCAGTCCTCTTGCTGGTGTGCTTAAGATGGGATAGGACAAGTGTGTCGGCAAACGTGGCGTCCCACACCAATGCCCCGCCCATACTCCAAGGGATGAGAGTCATTCCGTTCGGGCGTTTCATCAGTACGCAACAAGCCGCTCAGCTCGAGTATAGCGGGCACGTTAACCGTGGCTAACGCCCGGCTAATTAATTATCCACTTCTATTACTTTTTAGGAAATTTATCGTTTCCCCTTAACGAATAAAGAAACGGCCTCGTGAACTTTATAAATTATAATGTTTCATAATTTCATAAAACAATTGAACAATTTGAAATCGCTGACATGTGACATTCCACATATCCATATCCTCCATATTTGCATAACACAAATTTGTACCTCAATAATGGGAAAATAGAGTCATATTTTTCGCATATGCTATATGCGAAAAATATGTCGCATCGTGACGCTTCCACTCTGCGCCATTGGAGTTGAGCCTAAGTGTATGGAAGACTGTCACAGCGAGCCCGCGATAATAGGCGGCGTCTAAAGCCGCCACACCTTTATTACTTCTATTATGTATATGTTGAGTGTGTGCGTTATTATTATTATAATAAAAGTATTAATTTCGACGAGTTGTTTAGCTTAAATTTTTTTGTGCTACACTGTTTTGTATATTTTGTATTTTTTTATTTTACGTGTTATGTAATAAACAAATTTAGTAACAGTTGCACACAACAATTTGCATCCGGATATTCAAAGAACAACACAAGTATCTCAGTGTTAAGTTTTTACTTTTATTGAAAAAGGAGTGACTGAAACATTTACTAACATCTACTACCTTGGAAAATATATTGAAACTGTACAGTACAGCCCCGACTTAAACAGATTGACTGTGTGAATTGAGGATTATAAATAATTCACTGGGAAAGCGAACCTATTGCTTTTACTTACAGATTTATTAAACATAGTAGTGTTGATTATCGTAAGCTTACGAAGTGGAGCGTACAATGTTCAATCAGAAATGGTCTTGTTTCTTAGGAATTCTTCGTTATAATAAATTATAGCTGGGCAAATTCGAGCAGAACTTTTGTATGAAATCAAGAATGTCATCTGGCCGGCTTTGTTTGGACTTATTCATGAATAACAAATAGAGTAACTGTTTAAAGTGAAATGAAGTCAGCCTTGTTGAATAACTAGGTCGCGAAAATGATGAATAGAACTGTCTGTTTAATATTCAAGTGACGCTCTCTCGGTTCGCCGTAAATCAAAACTAAGAAAACTTATAAGAATATTGACTATTTAATAATATTTTCGAGTTGTTTTCTCTGGAGTTACAAGTTGTACGTAAATAAATACAAGCATTTAGGTACATGGTTGACTGTTCTGGGTAAATTACAGGCACATGGGTTTTGTCACCATTATGTCTCAGTGTGAATTTGAATTAACAAAGGTGGGTTTTATTTTACTTTACTTCGCTTGATGAAGTTGTTACATTAAATATCATAAATCCATTATACGGCGCACTGCAGCGTGCAGAGGGCACGGGTCTCCTCTAAAGAAAGAGTTAAGGTTAGGTCATATTCTGTATCAATGCGATTTGGGCTATAATAATTTTCTATAATTATAATTATTGGCTGGTTCATATCTTTCTACATTAGTTTTGATTATAGTGACCGACCCTTAGGGTGCACGAGAAGGGCACTATAACCTATTCGCGCACAGGAACCTTACAAGTTCAGGTTCCGACCCCAGATCAGCCAGTGTACGGATTTGTCACGGACCTCTGTCACTGGACTTCATCTAGTTCTCGAGAGGCCTCGGGTGAACCAGTACAGGAACTATAACCTGTGCAAATAAGCCCGCACAGGGACCTACTCAGTCAGTATCTGACCCCAGTTAAGCCCATGTACCGTAGCTGTATTTACGCTCACTTCCCGTTGCGCATTGCAAAACTAGCGGTTGCCACCGCTAAGCCTAAGTAGTAAGTAGCAGTTTTGGTAACAATAAAGCACCTTGTGAAAGCGTTCGTCCAGGGAAGTGCTGTCACCTTACCTATTTTTACCGCCAAGCAGTAAAGTGAGCATGACTGCGTTCCGGATTTGAAGGTTAAGGGTGCTGGTAGTGGGATTTGTCAACTTATGTCTCACGGTGACGCGTGCAGTAGCAGTGCCCCTCAAATCTTTGTGATTTAAAGCTCTGCAGTGTGAGTGGCACTGTCCCGTGGTTCATCCCGTCACTTGGTATTATGAAGAAAAACCGTTATTGATAAGCGTGTCGCTTACCACCAGGTGCGCGACTTATTCGTCCTGTCGCCTGGTATCACAAAAAAATGAACAGGTTCACATTCTCAGCTTGCCCAGAAAATGTCTTGTTCTTCTACCGTATGACAAAGTCAAAGTTATGCAACATTGTGCTCTTATTGTTTAGTACCATTTGGTTTAACGACAACCATTAAATGGCTTTAATTTTGACTGCCTAATTACGGCTTTCACAGCCCTCCTGCGAAATGCCAATGAGTTTCTAATTAAATATAAATGTAGTTGCGCCTTTTCTTTGGAGGGTCTCGACGTGTACTTAGTCTCAAAAAAAACATTAAGTGCCCATATTTTGAAAATTACCGAAATGCAAATTGTCGCCTTAGTTTTGCTTTACTACGAAGTTCCATGGTATATCAAATGTAAAGGCGATCGACGTAAGAGAACTAAAGTGACCGATATAGCTCGCAAAGTCAATAAGGTTAAGTAGTAGTGGGCCAGACGTGTCTGCAGGAAGGCTGAGGATCAATGGAACATTCCCCGTATCTTTTCTACATAAGTTTTATTTATTGTGACCCTCTCTATTAACCTCATAGTTATACAGGAAGGGCACTATAACCGGTGGAAGTAAGCCCGCACAGGGACCTACTCAGTCAGGTCCTGACCCCAGTTAAGCCCGTTTGCACGGACTTCAGCCGGTTCTCAAAAGGATATTTTCCAGATAGGACCGGAGCTGTAGGCACGCTCACTTCCCGTTGCGCGTTTCACAAATAACGGTTGCCACCGCTAAGCCGTTAACTGTAAAGTTTACCACTAAATGTCTTCTTTGGTGGCGGTGCTGTAAGTCACGCTCATTTCCCGATGCCGAAAAACAGCGCCTCTCCAGTTCCCAATAACTTAAGCGGCTGGATGGACCGGAGGATATATATATCCAATGGAGCAGACTTGTTCTTGAGTACATTAAAGCAAACGTAGTGTAGGACACCCAGCGGCAAGGTGGATAGACGACCTGAGAAAGGTCGGCAGCAGCTGGATGCAGACGGCTATAAGCAAAATTTTTCTTTGATTTTGCCTACTCTTTAATAGTACCGACCCGAAACCCCATTAATACAGTTCGCTACAAACCATTTCAAGTAATAAATTTGATCAAGGTGTGATTGATTCCATCAAGTATCTTGATCGACTAAATTAATTAAAGTCACAGTTGTAATATTGATTATAATTAATATTATGATCTTTTTTACCATAACAGTCATTTATTTTTTGTGTAGTTACACCACTAGTTTGTTATGGTTATTAATACAAAGACCGAACGCAAAATAATAATAATAAATTGTTTGTTGAATAACTTACTGTACAGCACATCAAGCTACACATTGACGTATCTTGTTCCGTTGCACTGGAGGCGATTTTGAAACAAAAATGCGCAGTCTAATGTACCGTTGTCCGTACAAAGGAATAACTTGAGACTAAGCGTATCAACGTAAAATTTAACACGTATTCCTGAACTAGGAGAATCCTGTATTTACAAAGAAAAATTCCTTTTCATTACAGCGTCTAGCAGGTTCTAGTCCTATAGATCGAAAGAATTTTTCTTCGTTCGATCTTTGTATTAATAACTATAATATAGTCACTGTTTTTCTGTGTACTGTTCTGGAACAGATTTTTGAGGCAATGTCACATAAAAAAATCTGTTAGGGTGCGTACAGATCTAGCGAATGCGTTGCATGTGTGCTGTACGCGCGATGCACGCGTGCAGCGAGTGCGGCTCTGTAGTCATATCTCACGCAAGGCTTGCATTATGGCGCGCGAACGGCACGCGAGATCGTACGACGTAATGCAGGTGTGCAGCTCGCGAACCTTCGCGGCACATTCGCCAGATTTGTACACACCCTGAGATTCGCTATACATAATTATATTGTTATTTTAAGCAAAAAGGTCAAATAATCGGCATGACAATTAGCCGAAGCGCAAAAAAAAAACTACAGTGTTGTTGCCATTTGCTGTAGCTAAGTATTTCTAACAAGAATGACACATAACACGAAATAGCTTAGTAACTCTATACATAACTTTAATATTTCATTATTCTACGGAAGCAATAAAAATACAATAATACTACTTTAGCCATTTACCACTATCTTGAATCACCGCGTGGAGTGTAATGCAACACGTCCGTTATTTATTTCGTCGTATTTTATGGCCCATAATTTGCTACTGAGGGATTTCTCTGATAACTTTCTATTTACCTATTTCAGGCTATTTCGATCTTATGATATTTGAAACAAGTATTGTATGTGTACAAATGACTATTTACAAAGAGCAACTCGTTTCTTAAACGTTCTAGATAATTTGCTTACATAAGAAATAAAGAGATATTTGAATATAAATTACTATACCATACTTCGCTTGGTTAAATTATTTTCTTTACATAAAACAACATTATCAACCGAGTATATGACCCACTGCAGGGCACGGATCTCCTCTAAAAAGAGGGTTAACCCTCTATACCTTAAGGTCATAGCCCTCCACACTGGCCCAATGAGAATTGAGTAATATTATTATTTTCTTTAATAATATTTGTTGACTGGTTCGTAGTGAGTAAGTAGTAGTTTTAGTAGCCAGACAGCTTCTTGTAAAAGATTTCATCCAGGGAAGCTACTTATCTGTTTCTGCCGTCAAAGAGTAAAGTGAGCATTACTGCGTTTGAAGAGTGAGTCCACTTATGTCTCAGGGTAACTAAAGAGCGCAGTGGCAATGTCTCTCGGATCTTTGCGATTTAAAGCTCTGAATGGCACTGCATTTGCTATGGAGAGGCGTGTAGCTTACCATCAGGCACACAGTGTGTTCGTCCCATCACTTGATATTATAAAAAAATAGCCCTGGCTAATATTGTGGTAAAGACGTGTTCGGGCGTAATAACATAATAACACTGTTTCATAATGCCTGTCCACTCTTTCTTTATCCTCTTGTCTATTGAGCAGACCACATTCTACAACAAAAGTCGATAAATTGTCACCATTATCCTATTCCAAAACATTGAACAAGCGTATGAAATATTAGCCTTTTTGGGCGTAGATAGTCTGGTAACTGGTGGCCAAATGTAGCGTGTCTTGGCGTCGGTCCAAAAGTTACTTTTCGA